CATATTCATTAGCACTATTATGCGCCCATCTTCTTTCATTATGTTACCAATTAAGTATTGTATCTTTGTATTCGTATTTTTATATTTAACCAAAGGTCTCTGTCTAACATGTAAAATTAAAGGCGTAGTATTGCAAAATATCTAGAAACTTTGAAAACACATTTTGGGATTGCGCCTCTTATTATGGCTTCCTTTCAAGATTTCTGGCAGGGCGTCTGGGGACGAGTGATGAGGCATGAAACTATCCTGGGGACGAGTGATGGGGCGTGAAAGCCCTGCGCACGGTTGCTCAGCCGCGAGAAATACTCTCCAAGCAGAGGTTTGGGGGCTGGCTTATTTTGGCGTGATTTTAGGCTTTTTTATCTGGCTTTCTTTTTTTTGCACTGGTTAACGTTCGGTTAGCAGGGAAAAAAAAAGAAAACCTGATAAGGTAATACTTATTTTCACTTGGGCCTCAAGTAAGTGAGGAAAGTCGTGTTAAGTGCCTTTCCCAAGGGCACAAGATCGGTGGCATGTCAGGACTCGAACCCGGGACCTCTTGGTTTCGAGTCGAACACTCTGCCGCTACGCCACACGACCCCACAAACTGGTTAATGTTGGACTAGCGTTAAAAAAAAACGCAAAAAAGAAAACCCGATAAAAAAGCCTAAAAACACGCGAAAAATTAGCCAAAACCCAAACCCCTGCTCGGAGAGCACTGGGGAACCGGCGCATCGCCGAAGGCAAAACCAACATCTGATAGAAACACGCTCTTATCAATTAACTTCTCTATTAGTGAGAAGGGTCATTACTTATCCGGCTCGATAGGTCGGTACAAGCCCAATCTCATCAGTGCTTGGGGATTACTATGATGTGTCCATTCACTGGGAACCAAATAATGTCTATGGATGACATCAGCGCGCGCATCAATTTTCGCCTGATTTTGGGGAAAGAACAAGAAATTTTCATGAAAGTACATCTGTGTTGGAAGCAATCATAGTAAAAAGTTGAACTTTATTCCAACACACAGAGATCGCGTTGTGAAGTGATTGGTCATAATTATCCTGATGAAGTCGACAGTGGTTGCTGAAAATTTGATCTCTCTGTTAACTGTGTGTTGGAATAAAGTTCAACTTTTTACTAACAAGAAATTTTGTTGCCCCTTGAGAGTAGTCAACATGCCGAAAATATGCAGATATGTCTGTTGCTAGTGCTGCATACCTAAACCCAATTTTAGGTTCAGGTCCGGATTCAAGCCCAGAGGTTTAGGTTCAGTTCCGGACTTGTAAGTCAGGACCTAAACCCATGGCATATACAAAATTGCATGTTGGCAACCTTGCAATGTTACCTGGGTGAAACTTTGGCCACATAACATGGAGGCCGGTACTTGACGATGCCAGATGGCAATGTTTTCTTCATTTTGCAATCTACGGAAGGTTTTAGGTGCTTTCGAAAGAAAAGGGGTATGTGAAATAGTATTTTATGGTAACAAGTCCGGACTCGGTTCTTGACTTTTAGTTTTTTTGGACTTGAACCTAAACATTCTTATAAGTCCGGATCCAAGTCCAGTGAACCGGTATGCATCACTATCTGTTGCCATGCTTGAACGCTTATAGCAGAGATATATGAAGAGAGGAGACAAAACAAGGCTTTGATTTATTGTCTTGTCTTTTACTTTTACCTCGTCGCAGTGTTGTATTTCATTCCGTTGCATGTCATTTTGCTGCTGAAAAAAAATCTTGCTAAACAGGGTTTGTGATGTCAAGATTTGACAATATAGAAATCTTCTTTTTTTTGGCCCGCCTTTTTTTTCGCCCTACCGCATCAGATTTGGTTCATTAGGACGATGGCATTCATAAAATGTAATTGTTGTGGCCTGAAAAAATTCTTGCTAAACAAGGTTTATAATGTCAAAATTTGACATTATAGAATTTTTTTTTGGGGGGGGGGGGCGCCTTGTTTTTTTTTCAGTGTTTTTTTTCGCTCTACCGCATCAGATTTGGTGCCTTCGGAGGATGGCATCCATAAAATGTAGTTGTTTTGGCCTAATCAGTGCCAGGGGATTAGCAATGTTGTGTCCATTCAACGGGCATAAGTCGATAATGGAATCGTTCAAACGTTAATTTGCATAATTCGTGCGGCTGTGTGGGTCAAGTATTGATATTTTCGGACAGGCAAATAGCCTTTTGGGAGTCCATGGAGATGGTATACATTCCCGTATATTGATATTTAGACTTAAGGGATTATGTATACCGTACTTACGTAGTTTTGCAGGTCTAGCTTTGAGCCATTTGTGCTTATAAATGACTCAAAGCTAGGCCAGTTCATTTGAATACCTGTTTCAAAGTATCGGCCTAGCCCTGAGCCATTTACTAGTATTTTTTGTTATAAATGGCTCAAAGCTAGACCCCAGAATAGTTCTTGGTACTAGTTTTTTTAAAGTGTAGGTCTAGCTTTGAGCCATTTAAAGGATAAAATGGCTGAAAGCTAGACCCCAGAACAGTTCGTCTAACCATTTTTTTGCACGTATAGGTCTAGCTTTGAGCCATTTTAAACATGAATGACTCAAAGCTAGACCCTAGAACAGTCCTTTTGTTGCCAGTTTAGAGTATAGGTCTAGCTTTGAGCCATTTAAAACATAAATGAAGCTAGACCCCAAAACAGTTCTTTTTTTGAAAGTATATGTCTAGTTTTGAGCCATTTGAAGTATAAATGACTCAAAGCTAGACCCCAGAACAGTTTTCTTTGCCAGTTTGTTTCGGTAGAGGTCTAGCTTTGAGCCATTCAAAACATAAATGACTCAAAGCTAGACCCCAGAACAGTTGTTTTTTGTCAGTATAGGCTTCAAGTCTTTGACAGAGTGGCTGGTTACCAATCGTATAATCATGTGGTGACACTTTATAATTGGTTGAAAAATGAACCCTTTTCACGCCTGTCTGAAGACAATTTATGGTTTTGGTGACCTTTTAAAGGAAGAGTGGCCTAGCTCGGTAACTGTTTTAACGGCACTTCTAAATGTTGCCGAAACCTTGTAGAAGCGTATAATCATACACACTGTGCCTTTTCCAGACAGCGTTTACCTTAATTAGCCCCTCAAATATCATGTAAGCATTGAAGATTCTTATCCGCCCTTGCATCCGCCCCAGCAACTAAAATATTTTGAGTCATCAGAACGTAATATCATCGAAGAAAATGTGGCACACTGGCATGTATCCCTGAAATCAACGAAGAATCAAGAGCACATTAAAGTTTTATATCGTACTGAATTATTAAGAATGGACACTACAGGAGTCGGTAGTTATAACAAAGTGCTCTTAATAATAGGGCGGTGACAGGACGGGATGTTATTGGCCAGACCTTGATTATGACAGATATTATATCTATACCATAACCTGATTTACATTCACTGACACTTTTTAGTCACGTACTTTGTCATATAGCCTCTACCAGGCTTCGGGAGGCGGCTGGAAAGAGTAGAAATTGGCCAAATAGAGAGATAACATGCCGGGGTCAGCCAGAGAGTACAGTTTGCCGCACTCGAAGTCTGTCGGGGGTCGCTACGATCAAACAGGTGCGGCAAACTGTACTCTCTACTTTACTTGTTATTCGTCCTCTGCGTTGGTGGCGGCATAAAATAAGTTGATATAACTTGAGTGTCTAGTCATGAAATGTTGGAATATAAAAAAAATGGCTGTGAGTATCGTTTACCCGGATGTCCACCCTTCATGAGTGCATGATGAGTCGCGCTTGTCTGCACGTTTCGTGACAAGAAGTCGTCCATTTTATCACGTAGAACTACATCATGTGAGCAGGATGGCGGGTTGTCATCGCCGATGTCTCATTTTTCTTTTTTAAACATTCTGATTTAGACCAAATTACAAGGCAAAAACTCTTTCCTGTTCATGATCTTTACATTTAGATATCGTAAAACATTGTATAAATGATAGATATATCACTCTTTCGCCCATTATAGAAACATCCTATGATAGGTATTCAAACAGTATGCACACTCCGACCATCTCAAAGCATTCACATGGGCAAAGTGCCGCCGTTGCAGTTTTAGTGATCTCCGCATGGTGCCCTCACTCGATGATTCCTGCCCTCCCCCATTATTCCGATCTTACAGAATATCCAATTTAAGAAGAGTAAACATAATGGCTCAATGATTCAAAGCCATTCCCTTGCTTCTAGGAGATACCTTTTGTCCGCTGTGACAAAGAATTAAACTATCTCGAAATCATTTTAAAAACTTCAGTTTTAAATGTCATTGAAGTAAAATAGTAAGTATTATGAAAGAAGGTACATCATTTTTATCCCTAGTATTTTAAGACAACCGTTACAGCTAGCCTCTACCAGGCACCGCGGATCGCTGGAAAAATAGTAGAAATTGGCCGAAATAAAGGAATAGTATACCAGAGAAGATCCCGGGCCATAGAAGATTCAATAAAACGTGGGTCGCGAATTGAATCTTCTATGGCCCGGGATCTTTTCTGGTATACTATCCCTTTCCTTCGGTCAATTTCTACTATTTTTCCAGCGATCCGCGGTGCCTGGTAGAGGCTGCATTACAGCCACATAGCATAGCAGAGTACAGCCCGGCCCGTTCGCCATGTTTGGTCGGAGCGCGCGCTTTAGTTTGCCCGCTAGATATCACACCTTCTTCCGATATGTAAACACAAGGTTTGGGAACGGTCGTACGGAATTTGCGGCCCTGAAATACCCCGAACGTTACATATACACATACAACCAGGAAGAGGAAACAAGGTATAATGTAGACAACATTTAACAGAACTACAAAAAACTAAAACTTAACATTTCCATGCGAACATTCCTGCTTTTTCACTCGCTTCATGTGAAGGACATGTCGAGTCCCTTTTCAAACCTCCCAGTCTTTGTTTGATCTTGTGTCAAACAAACCCAGTGACCGAAAAGGAAGAACAGAGAACGCTGCCGTTGACTCTGGGTATTTATAGCAGGCGGAATTTCTGGTATAATTAAGGTATAAAAGCGCAGACGGATTCCGGGAAAGTCTCACAGCTTTCTCTTCCAGAGGTGAGTACGGTACAGTACAGTTTCTTTCGACTCAAAAATTCTATTTCTTTAAGATAGGTTTCAACGTATTAAAACGCTGACAGTTGTTTCACATGCTGCCTTGGAAAACAGCAATATAGTCTAAAGACCATCTACCTCCCTTACAAAATAACTAGGGAGGTTAATGCCTTAGCTTTATATTATGGAATGTTGTTTCATGCAATCCTTACATGGGGAATTGTTTGCTATAAAATCGCAGTTTATCTTAAATGCTGTGAAGAGAAGACGAATATAATTTCCCCATAGTTGAGAACCAAATTGGACAAAACGGAAGCATAATTACATATTATTTGACTTATTATTTCAATTTTTCAAGGCTTGTTCAAGTTGAATGTAGAATTTCTGACATAATCGTTTGTTTCCGGTTCCAGGGTCTTGTTCCTGTAGAAGACGCCCTGCCGGACTCACCATGCCCGCCTACGGTCCCTCGCTCGAGGTTGGTCTGACCATTTCCAAGTGCCTTATACCGGCTATACAGATACGGATACGGACTCCCTTGTATCATTATATGAAGTTAGAATACTATGAAGTTAGAATACACCTTGAAATGAAAAGTAAGAGTCTGTAACGTGTAAACTTGAAGAAATTCTCTACATGATTATCAGCTACAAAACAAGACCGTATGTTAAAATACATGGCGAGTGCGATAGTTTGAGATAATCGTTTAGATCTATGGACTCGGTCAGAAAAGGAAGAAATGTTGTTCTTGGAAGGTAATTCCAACGTCAACTTTCCGTCCTTAGGATCAGCCCTCGGAGCGTTTCCTCTTCGGAGACCCCGAGGACATGAAGAAGCTGCGGTCGGCTCCTTACGACGCCAAGAAGAACTGCTGGGTTCCCGATGAGAAGGAGGTTTTCATCGAGGCCGAGATCAAGGCCAAGAAGGGCGACCAGGTCACGGTCACTACCCGCTCCGGAAACGTGAGTTACGCTGTGTGCAGTCTGAATGGGTCCCTCGCCATTTCTTCTTCTTGTTTCTCCAGTTGTGACTCTACCGCTGTCTTTTGCATCTGTCATCTGTCTCGTTCTTGTTTTTTCCTTGAATTTCTCTGTGTGTCTTTGTCTCTCCCTGTGTCTCTTTCCCTGTCTTTATAAAATTATGCCCCTCTCTACACCTTTCTATCTCAGGACCATCTTTGTCCATCTGTGTGTCTCCCTCCCTGTCTCTCTCTGTTACTACCTTTTCGCACATGAGATTGCAACACATGTTTTATGGCATTTCTTTAAAAGCCATTTTACCAATCATAGCCGTAAAATACGTCGACAAAGTTTACACATCCAAGAAGAACATCAAGTGATACAAAATAAGCAAAACAGCTGGATAAATTATCGTAAGCTCCAATGAATGTATCGAGATGTTTGATTTTTATGTATTTCATAACACGATAGCTAAGATGTTATAAGCGATGACGTCACTGCTTACGTCATATTACCCACAGACCTTCACGGTGAAGGAGAGCGTGGTGCAGGAGATGAACCCGCCCAAGTTCGCATGCGCAGAAGACATGGCCAACATGACGTACCTGAACGAGGCGTCCGTCATGAACAATCTGCGCACGCGCTACCAGAACATCCTCATCTACGTGAGTATATATCCACCCATAATGCACCGCTGTCCAATCAGAACCTTGCTTTCTGGTCACGTGCACGGCAATGTGTGATGGTGAAGAAAAGAATTTTTGAAGCTAAGAAAAACCTAAAACCCTAATACATGGCCTGGCCAACCATCGCCGTACAATAGCAAGCTAATGACCTTCTGTGTGCCTGTGTCCTGAAAAAAAATCAGCTTTCTTGATACGAAAAAAAAATACTGCGGATCAAAATTGCAGAATATCCTAAGATGATGCCCTTACGTGTCTGTATTGCATAGTGACAGACCTACTATAGCCCATGTAACATGTTTGTACCGTTCTGTGTTTTCAGATCTAATATATCCTCTTTAACATGGCTGTAACAATGTTTGTTTCCAGACCTACTCCGGGCTGTTCTGCGTGGTGATCAACCCGTTCATGCGGCTGCCGATCTACGGGCCGAACGTGGTGTCGATCTACCACGGCAGTAACACTACAGTAAAACTACAGTAAAATACTCTGTAGTAGCACTACAGTAACGCTATATTTCCATCTCCAGACGTACTCCGGTTTGTTCTGCGTGGTGATCAACCCGTTCCGCCGGCTGCCCATCTACGGGCCGAACGTGGTGTCCATCTACCACGGCAAGCGGCGTCAGGAGGTCCCGCCTCACCTGTTCTCCGTCGCCGACGAGGCTTACATGAACATGATCGGCGGTAAGGCAACTTTGCTTTTAAGAACACAAACAAACAAACAAACAAACACCTCACCTCTTCTCCATGGCCGACGACGCTGACATGAACATGATCGGCGGTGAGGAAAATCACTTTTAGACACAACCAACCAAACAAACAAACAAACAAACAAACAAACAAACAGGCAAGCAAGCAAACAGGCAGACAGACAAACAAACAAACATCTTACCTGTTCTCCGAGGTTTACATGAACATGATCGGCCGTAAGGCAACTCAAGTTAAAAAACAAACAACGGCTTTTAGTATAATTTTATAAAACAGTAATAAACATATACAAATATAAAACAGATAAGACCTACTTGGTACAAGGCGGCAAGGCATCTCAATTTATTTTTATTTTGGTTAAAATCATTTTATCACTTCTTCAAGTTAATGTTTACACAGAGACAGTCGTACTCAAAGATGTTGTCTTATGTTGATTTCATACAGACCAGATCTGCCAGTCCATCCTGATCACGTGAGTAGATCAAATTTCTTTCTATAGCTATGTCTAGAACCATCTCTGAAGATTTTGACTTCTCTTTTGTAAACCATAGAAGACGTAATGTCCCACCTTTTCCAAAATTTGTGGGCTTTGAGTATTTAAAAGAAGAATAGTTTTTTTTAATATGTCGAGGACTAAGGTTGGCCGGTCATGTTGTACGTAGCGAAGGACCTGCCAGTAGGCTTCTACTCTGGAACCCTGACACGAAGAGAAGAGTTGGACGTCCAAACATAACACTTAACTTATAGAAACTGAAACAGGCTTGGAACTTTCAGCAATGAATGACAAGCAGTTCTGTAGATCAAACTTTGTCTGATCCATCTCTTCGGAGGATGAATGATGGTGATGATGAGTTTTAAATATATTCATGTAATGTGTGTTGATTCCTGAAGTGGCGAGTCCGGTGCCGGAAAGACCGAGAACACCAAGAAGGTTCTGTCTTACTTCGCGACTGTCGGAGCCAGCCAGGCAGCCGCCGCCGCCGCTCCAGGCGCTGAGCAGAAGGTATTTATTTATTTCTATTTATTAAGAAATTGTAACATGACAATACAAAGTGTGCACTAGGCAGCTAGTATGCTGATAGCGTGCACACCTAACACATACAGCACATGTGACACATATGACATAGATAGTGAAAACGAGATATATACACAAGGTATTTAGACAGTATTTTAGTTCTTAGGATATGATAATTCGAAACAACTTTTTTTCTCCTGGAAACGGGCGGCTCGGCCCTTTTCATGGCCATCCAGCTCAACCCCAAAAGGCTTTATTTATACACAATCACACAATAAACGAAGTTATATCTTTCATGGTCAGAAATACCTTATATATATATATATATATATATATAT